TTATTATGTGGTGCTGTGATATATCTTGGAGGAGCAAATCTGTGCTGAGGATTGAGATGAAGTAGCGTGAGCTTTAAGCAGTAGATTCCTGCCTCCCAACTTCGCGCTGCTTGTGAATGCAGCGATGGGGGCTGCCTAGCCCCTCCTCGTGTGACTAGGTATTCGCATGTCAACAGAATCTCTGGATTGCTGTAGTCTGATTCCATGCTACCATCAAGCTCAATTTCGCTTCTGCTTTTCCTCTTTCCAGTGTCAGTGCAAAAATAAAGGCCATTGAAGCCAAGCTGAAAATGATGGCAGAAAATCCAGATGCGGAATACCCTGCAGCACCTGTTTATTCTTACTTCAAACCGCCGGATAAGAAAAGGACTACTCCTTATTCCAGAGCTGCCTGGAAATCCAGAAGATGATGCTTATGAATGGATAATGGTAGCAAGAAACACTGCTGTGTATAGCTGGAGTCCTCCAATGCTTTTGTACTTTGTAGAGTGCGAAGGATGCTGCCACCTGAGCACGACACCACTGTACCCGGCCCCGAGTTTTGTAACACCTTAGGTGGTCTGCTGAATGCTCCTTACTGCCAGTGCAGCTCCACAGCTGAATGCTGTTCAGAAAAGTAGGTTCCCTTCAAAGCCTCTGATGAACACGCCGACAACCTCTCGTTAGTGTGCATTCATTAGCAAGATTAGAAACAGTAACCAGTGTGTGGAGTAAAGCACATCCAAAAATACTCCATTTAACTGATTACTTTTTAAAGTATTTTTGAACAAAAACTATTCCGATTTGTGTTTTTAATGGAGGGGAAGCACTTGGTTTTGATTAACATTCTGTAGTTACCATGGAAAACTTTTTCATCTCAATAAAATTCATTTTAAATAGATTTTGCAACACTTTTAGTAACTGTGCATGCAATATTTTATAGGCACCAAAGCAAATTTATTTTGCATTTCGATTTGCAAACTTTAAGGTGTGACTTTATGATGTGATAACCTTAAGGCAAGTCATGACACAGCACGGGTATTTTCAGTGTCCCTTAGGCTGTAGGTGTGTGCCTCCGTGTAGGAACTGGTGTATTTACACACCACCGAGGTCTGCTCTGTGCCGTAAGCTTCAGAGCGCAGCAGTGGCCTATCTAACGTTTGCGTTCAGTGGCAGCTCTTCATAAACCAGATGTGACAACGCGAGAATAACACCGCAGCCTCAGGACATCTGTCAAGCACACGACCTCGGCGTTTGCCCACCCGCCAGACCAGCGAAAGGTGGTCGGTTGTCCCTTGGTGTAACGTGGCGCAAGCGTTTGCGGCACGATGGTTCCGCTGTGCGCTGAGGGTTACCCGCACCAGGTGCTTAATTTACAAGTGTAATGGCTGGCGTTTCACTTAAACCGTTTGATCTGCAGCACATTCTTCTCCCTAAATGTTACCTGCAAAATAGAAATCTGAGGAAAAAACCCATCGTCTGGCAGTGTTTTTTCCTTCGTACACGCAGCGCTGTGACTGTGCGTGCAAGGGGGACGTTGGAGGACGTGTGCGCTCGGGCCCGGAGATGCCGGTCTGATTGGCCGATGTCTGCTCTCTCTGGTCCTTTCTAGGGCGAATCTTCGCCTTGTCGGTCGCTCTTGAGTTGCTTCCCCAAGCTGGTTAACAGTGGTCTCAAACAAGAGGAGGGAAATAATTTTTAAAGAGCCCCTGGTTTCTGTACGCAGGTGTTGCTCGCTGGCGCAGCAAAGTAAGGTTTGTATTCCTGAAGCAGCGCCGCTGCCTCCGAGCAGAGCACGCTTCCCGCTGCCGAAGCGAGCGCCTGGGACGGAGCTGTGCGCGTGTACGATGGATGGATTGCTAAAAGCCCGAATTGTTCAGAAGTAGGTCTTGTGCTGTTAAATGTTTGCTTTCTAGTTTTTGGGTACCTGAGTAAAGAGAAAAGTCGTACCCTTGGGAGTTTGTACCCCTGTGAATGTCAGTAACGCCCGTTTACATTCCTCTGTGAACAGCCTCTGTTTTGTTCTTGCGTGGCCCAACGTTTGTAGTCCTCCGGATCTGTATCTGCGTTATTTAGAACAGCAATCAATTCTATTTCTATTAGGAATTTAGAAAATACCTAGATTCAAATCGGGTGTGTGGTTGTGTTCCTGTTAGAAACATACTTTGATATTTATTTGTATTTAAATACAATTTGTTGACATTCTTGCGGCTCTAAATAAACATTTAAAATGCATGTTTTCCTCCAGGAACGTGAGGGTGGCAAGCAGGAAGGGAGGGTGGTAAATGCTTGGCATCAGCTGAAGTCCACTGATACAAATCTGGGTACAATAGCAGTAGTCTTTTTTTTTTATTATTATTATTTTATTGTTTTCCCTACCAGAGTCACTAACAGAAGTGCCTTGTCTGTCCTCTGGCCAGACTCAGACCTGGGGGAGCTTTATTGCAGGTCACTGTTTGTGTCGGTCGTTCCCGCCGGCCTGGCAGGCGCTCGTGCTGCCTGCGCTTCCCAGGAATGCTGCGGCTTCCCGAAGGCCCGGCTCCTCTTCGGCAGCCGGCGGCGAGAGCACAGCAAAACCAGAGTTTCTAACCCTGGAGCTGGGAGGAGGTAAATGCTCAGTAACGTTTTTCGTGAGCGTCAGCTCTGGCGCTTTGCCTATCAGCCATCATAAAATAGGTTGGAAAAGCACCGGGAAGCGTGGCATCGCTTTGGTGGAGGATGCGGCCGGCTCTGAAGCCGTGAGTACGGAGGGCGGTGGGAAGGAGAGCGGGCTTGGCAGCCGGCCCCCCGGGGCGTCACCCAGGGGCTGTTTCCCACCTCCGGCCCGGTCCCCTTAGGGCTTTCTTTGCTTCCCCTGCACTTCAGCAAATCCCCGGGGGCGAGGTGGGATACCAAGGACGATGCTCGCCACCTCCACCGTGGGGGTTTTTCCTCTATTTCAACAATTTTCCTGCCTGTGGTGAGACTCCCTCACCCGGGAAAGGTACGAAATCGTGCCCTCGCCTGTGGGAGCACGCGACACGCCTAACCCCAAATCTGGGGATTCCAGCTGGGTGCTCGTGGGCGCGCAGCCTCCTCGTCGCTGCCTCGTACCAGCTCCAGTGCTGGTGGGAGCGAGCACGGGGGGAAAGAAAGGGGATGAAGTTGGTGCTGATGCCCAGCGACTCCACTGCTTCGCATTCCCCGCGCGCTGCGTGGGCCGTGTTTGCGGTGCAGGCAGCCGTGTCACCCACGCTTCGGGGATCTACCTGCTCTCAGCAGGCAGCGAGGGCAGGAGACCGGCTGCCCGCAGGGCCCAGGCTTGAGCCCGTGGCCGAGGAAAGGCAGAGGCTGGGCTGAAGTCACCCTGTTCCTGTGCCTGTTCCGACTTTGCAGGGCCCAGAGTGCCTGGCCTGTAATTATTAGAGCAGAGAGAGCTGTCAGCGTTGCCGTGGCGTGGTGTGCCGTGGCAGCTACAGCCCTGCATCGCTCTCGTATGCAAACAAAACCTGCATTGCCCTGCTCCGACCGGCGCTGTGTAGGGGGGCAGACAGCTTTCATGGCGGTGCCCGTGAAAACTCACTCCTACGTGTTTCTTCTGGAGCGGTCGGAGCCAATTCAGGCCCCGCCAGCGTGGACGAGTGCTTTAAATTGTCCTTTCTCAGCGCTGCTCCTCCGCACTTGTCCCTGCTGCTCTGCCTTCCTCCGCAGGGCCGAGGGGAGGACGAGCAGCGGGCCGCGGGCTGAGTTTCCGAGGGGTTTCTCGGGCTTTCTTACAACCTCAATGTTTAAAGCTAATGTCTTGTATTTATTCTAAAATGGCTTTCATCTGATTTCCCTCTCGGTTAACAATTTAGCTGTCAAAACCAATAACGGCGAGGATCCATCCCCGGCCGCCATCAGCTCACGTTACCGTCCTGCAATTACCCCGCGGTGGAACCGCTGCCGGGGCTTTGCCGGGGAATTATCAGGTTACTAATGAAGCCCGGGCAGCGGCGGGCGGCGAGACGCCGCGGCGGTGGGTGCGATCCCCGCTGCCTCACCCCATCCCGCCCCGCTCCCGGCCCCG